GCTGATGTTTGCTGCTTCCACTACATACATCCTCGTTGTTGGAACTGCCGCTTTTGCTGCGCAGCTCAGAGGTCCGCTCTAGGATTTCAGGGACGTGTTGGTTCGTGTTAGGCACTGTCTGTGACGGATCGTGGACATGAGAACATGGACTGGGGGACACAAAGGATTTCAATTTGGCTGGCGCGCAGGAGCAGCAGCAGCAGGAGCAGCAGCAGCAGCAGGAGCAGCAGCAGCAGGAGCAGGAGCAGCAGCAGGAGGAGCAGGAGCAGCAGGAGCAGCAGCAGCGGCGGTAGCCAAGTGTGCTGTTGGAGTGTTCGTTGTGTTAGCTTTGCAGCTGCATGCGTTCGCACAGAGATTTGCTGAAGGCTTAACATTGCTTCGCATTTCTTACATTCCGCACTTGTGGAGTACAGTGGCGTCCTGGCAACTCGGCGAGAGTTTGGTCCGTGGCGTTTCTGCTTGTTGCAGCATGAAAATATCAATGCAACCTTTGGTCTGTGCAGGCATGCTCAACCCTGGATCCAGAGATGCAGCCGAGAGGTGCGGTTTGGCATAAACTTGTTGCTGCTTGGCTTGGTTTCAGCATTGCCCAGTGACGTTACGTGCAGCCCTTCCTGCCTGCTTCAAGGCAGCACCCAATGTTTGATGAAGAATTCTAGCCACCACTCCACTCGAAGATTCATTAAGCACGGCTGCGGTTGTGCTCTACTCGCGGAATGAAGGCTGAGGTCCTTGACTATCATGCAGGCCTAAGGCCCAGAGATGCAAATACGATTCCAGCACAATCTATGCAAGGCAGTGCCTGCTCCTTTGGGTTTTCCACCGAGAGAGATTATCGAAATTCCACTGCCAGCCGTTGGCATGACCTCCTACCACGTTGTTCAGCCTTAATCGCTTAAGGCAGCATGGCCTCTCTGCCTGCTATCTCGCTGCTGCACTGTTTGTCTACTCTTTTGCCGGAGCTGTCCCCCAGTCCCTCTCTCCCAAGTCCAACGGATAAAGGCTGGACACAAAAGGATTAAAGAAAGAAAGGCAAGACGGGAAGGTGCATCCAAGGCATGTGAGAAGAGCAGAACGGCAAACTAATAATGAGCAAGCGTGCGTAGGGAGTGTATGTGCCCTGCAGAAAATGTATCGTCAAAGCACAAGAAACCATGACTGAAGCACAACATGAGAGAAGTTGACGTCCGCTACCTGAGAAGATTAATCCCATACAGTAAAAGCAAGAGCTGGCAACCCACAACCTGAAAAGACGAGGAGCAAAAAACTTGCAAAAGTCCGTGCTTCCTAGAAGTTGTCAACCGATGTCAACCGGGTCCGAGCTGCAAGTCAACGACCTTGTCGCGAGTGCTCCAGCTGCTACTCGTGCATATTTTCTGTTTGCCACCGAAATTCAGGGAGGACAGCCGCGAACCTGAATGCGAATACGCGTCACAAAGCTTACGACAAGTCTGGCAAGGGCAATCTCAAGGAGATATGGCGGTGATGGCAGTCCATGCACCTCCACTCCCTTAGGCCTCATGCCACTCCACTCACTACTTCAGACCGCAGTTGCGGTGTCTCCTTGGCATGTGCGGCTTCTATGAATACTGAGGGCATTCCCTGCCTATTGGCCTCTTCTTTTCGATGCGACTTGTAACACAAGCTGGACCCAAGGCTTGCGATGCTGACTGGCGCATTGCTCCTCCATGTTCTGACTTGCGTTTGGTATGCGGTCGGAGATCGCCCAGGTGGATGGGTGCAAGATCAAGGTCTAGAACGCTTTCCTGGGACTACGCAGTACCGCTTGGCTGTGGAATGGGCTCTTTCTCGTCTACCGCCGTCAAAACTCCCCGAGAACATGCTGCTGAACACCCAGGAGGAACGAGGAATGGCTGTGCTGGCAACTACATGTGCGATGGTATTTGGCTCTCTTTTCACCTCCATTGTGACAAATGATGTGTCCGACATTCGACGTTTCCGCAGTGCTCAGCTAAAGTCGGAGAATCAGGTTCTAAAGTACCTCAGGACATACCCAGTCCCCTGGGAACTGGAGAGAGAATTAAAGGCCTACCTCCACAGGAACAGGTCATTGGTTCAGCCACCGCGCAAGGAAGAGATGGCATCCTTGCTACCAGACTTTCTGTACCGCGAATTGTGCCGAGAGGCACTCTCACCAGTCGTTGCGAAGCACGACTTCTTGTGTGGCCTCAGGTATCGGTATGCTGCCTTTCACATGGATATCTGCGTGGAGTGCCTCACCGACTGGCACCTGGCAACTGAGGAGATCTTGTTTGTGGCCGGTCCCTCCTGTCACAGCATGCTATTCGTGGCAAGCGGCGAGGTGACCTACCGCTGGTCCTCAGCTGATGTGGACATGTCGCCAACGCACAGCCGCAGCGATGCCAAGTTCTCGAAGAATGTGATCTTCCCAATGGAGTCAAACGAGAAGATGGTTGAGGAGAAGCTGGTCATTGGGGACTGGATGTGTGAACAATGCAACTCGTTTCATATTTTGCTTGTTTCTATGCCGCTTGTGCCCTGACCCGTCTTGGCCAGCAGCCCAGGTCTCTGGACCGAATGGCATTATCTGGGAGGGGCCATGGCAAATTCAGGTCTCGCTGTCTCCAGTGTGCAGCGCGTCAGATCCTAGCTTCATGATGCAAGGGATGGTGCAAGTGCGAAGTAAACTCTCATTACATCGTGTTCTGCAATTGTTCTGCAATTGGGCCTTGGATGTGTGAGCAGTCAGGCTGCCTCCTAAAATGCCTCAGAAGTTTTTGCTTGACGGCAATATGTAGCTTGAATTTGCACTGCCTGAAAGCGTGATCCTGGAAAGCCCCTTGATCTATACTTTACCATGCCTTGATTCAGACATTAGCAGAGCTGACCATGGAATGTCCAAGTTGCATCAATCCCTGGCAGGAGCCACGCTGCTGTGTCTGCGCGATGAGAAGTTCCTAAAGTACGCGGCTCTCCACAAGGAGGCCATGGCCGAGCTTCTCATCTACGCCAGGCCAGTCTTCCCTAGCACGGGTTTGTGGCAAACTGCATAGAGGTTTTGTTTTGTGCGCAAGCATGGCTACGATCTCTTTGAAAGTTGAAAGAGCGCCAGAAAGTTGATTCACCCTCAATACACTACAAAACTATAGCCAAGAAAGCACAAAGCCAACCCAGACCTCATGCTCTCAACGGTTCTATGGGGCTCCAAATCGCCTTCTTCGTAACTGTCAGAAGTCTTTCGCCTGTGACACTCTTTGGCCGCCATTTGTGGTAGGCTGTTCGTGGAGACCTTGGATGACGCAGGGGAGGATCTCACAGACCTCCCAATTTCCCAAGAAGAGACAGGAAAACGTTAGTCGGACCCTAGACCGTGTGACTTGATGCTTCGAGATGTTTTGAGCTGTTAGTCCGACCGCAGATCAGACCTGCTGATTCAATCTTGGCGTTCCTAATTTTTTTTTACGATCCCACATCAGATCCATTCATGTCCACTTTTGGCTATTCAGCAATACAGCAGCGAAATTTGTTTGTTTTGCCTTTGACCGCTTGGGATCCTAAGTTTTCCGGGAAAGTCCGAGGCAATTGTTTCAAATCCTGAAAACGACGTGGCATGTACTTTGCCCTCAGGTTCAACACCTGTGTGCTCTCTTGCTGGTGTCAGGATACCATATCCTGATCATTCTATGCCCACCATAAGCCCGCATCATCCATCAAGGAGGAGCTGTTGTCAGCCGATGGGCTCATGGCTTGTATCACTGCCACAAGGCCAGCAGATAAATGTGAAAAGGTGAGTAAGTATGCAGAATACTATACAAAACAAGTGGCTGTAGTGACGGCGCAAAAAGAGACGTTTCGCAACAGTTAAGTAAACCTTGATGAGGGCACTCTCAAAATGTTAGTGCCGTCCAACGAAACGACACAGATCCAGACATAGAAGCTGCGCAGCCCCAGTTCGTACGACAATGTATGGAAGATAGCTTGCAAGCAGGAGACTGGCATCGTAGATTTATAGAATGCCATGAAGAAAGACAGCTCCACAGCCGCGGGACGTGGGCCAGCATTGCCATGAACCATGGCCATGTTTATGTGCGATCATTCTGCTAGGGTCACGCGCGGGCTTCGAGGCTGCAACAGCACCACTTCCGGAGCCGCCGTAACTGCAATGCAGAATATGATGTCATGCCCGGCTCTCGAAATGCTGTTATCATCTGTTGGTCCTGGTTTTCGTTCCTAGCACTCTCGAATGCCATACCCGCAATTCAACTTCCTCGTGTGTGATTTGGGGTCGGTCGTGCATCAGGTTGGATTCATCTTTTGCCCATTTTCCGGCTGCTTGTAGCGAAGCTCGCGCCAGTGGGCAGGTCAATTTTAAGATCTAAGCCAAGCTTTGTGCTGGAGCTTTCACAGAGATATGTTCACACCACACTCGGCGATATATCACTTGCACCGCTTCCATCCGCTTCCATGCACACGTGGTGCCTGTGAGCCAGCCGATCGGGTCTGGCCCGCTTGCAAGAACGTTTTGCCCTTCTCGGCAACTGCGCAGATTAAACGCAGATGTTGAGAACACCAACTCTTTGCAATTCCATTTGCCAAGTTTCTGGCTTCAAGCCGACGAGGCTCTAAGCGACCTGCAGGCTCGCCTCAAAAGAGGTGCCCTGGGTATGCGAGGTCGTGCTGCATGCCAAGGTTTCAAAGCTTGGCCCGCATGAGCTGGTCTAAATAAATGGGTCTATGGTGCTATTGCAACCAAGGTTCCCAAGGGTGGCTAGAGCGTGATGTCAACAGCATCTGCAATGCTGCCGATTTAGACCAGAGCTGGCACAATCAGTGTAGACATCAGAGAGCTAATACACAGACACAAATGCTGCCCGTCACTTTCACAGATCTCGCAGCTCACATGTGCGGGAGTTGTTGTCGTATTTGTTCGATGCAGTTGGCTGCCGTCATGTCTTGAAGGTCAGGCTTGGACGCAAGCAAGTCGAGTCAAGGCTACAAGCACATAAGCACCCTTGCAGGTGAAGATCATCTCCGATGCTTCCTTGAATCCCTCTAACGTTATCATCGTTGATGACATGTGCCTTGGGCTTCAAGCAGTCTCCCTGCGCTGAGCGTATCTTGGGAGCAACGAAGCACAGCTGCATACTGTCTTCATATCCAGCATCACCAACATACATGTTAGAAAGCTATTTGCGGTGCATCGGTAACTTTTGGGTGCAGCTGTTGGCGGGAGGGGTGGAGGTTTGACACCTGCGGAAGCTTGGTCAAAGTAGTCGAAGCGGTGAGGAACTTTGCCCCCGAGGCCAGACATCTGCAGCCATGGCTTGCATGAGTACTTGGTTACTGGGTAGCATCCTTCAAGTTGCATCTCTACGTGAGAGGCAAGAATATACGCCGTGGGGACTCATGGCTACTTCTCGAAGGTGCGCACAGCCCAGTGGCCGAGGGTTCTGGCTGGCGGCCACCTTGCTGGAGCCTTCCTCTGCTGCTACATGTAACCCAGATGTCTTGGACGAAATCTGCCAGGATGCCAGCGAGCGGGTTGCCAAAATGATCGCTGACCTGGGTTTGGAGGCTCCCGTAGGGCTTGGCAGTGACTGCCTGAAACCCTTCGTTTTTACCACGTGCTGATTTTGATGCCGCGGTGTCCTGCCCACACTTGCAACGCATTGTCAGTGGATAGCCGTCACCAACTGCATCTCCCAGAGAATGTGTCGAGCTTAGCTTCGAGTGTCTGCATAGACACTTAGTGGTGGTGGTGGCGGTGGTGGCGGTGGTGGCGGTGGTGGCGGTGATGGTGGTGATGGTGGTGATGGTGATGTGGAAAGTGCTTGTGGAAAGTACTTGTCGTAGTTGTAATTGTTGTTGATGCAATTCGTAAGACTTACTAAAGTTGTGTCAATTGCTGCGTCGCGCAGCTTTTGGTTGGAAAGCCGAACGTGGAAAACCCTGCGATGGGGGCATCTTGCAGGTTTGCCGCAAACAAAGATAGATAGTGGGCACCTGCGATGCAGCCGTAGTAGATTGCTCTGCCCAGGCCTTTGCAGAAGTTCCAAAAGCTTGGGATTGGTGAAAGGCCTGTCCACAGTTCTCAAGAACCTTTGGGCTGACGCTGACGCGTTAGTTTGGCAATCTGCCTGTCAGGTTAAAGGTCGTGGATGTCTCGAGATTAGCACTCTTCCCAGCTGCTGACGGCATGAGCAGATCGCAGAAGCGTCAAGTTCATAGTCTCCCTGGCAAATGGCTTCAAAGTTGCTGGGTTAGAGCCCCTCTGATCCCGCATCCTCACATCGCAAGCTTGAAGCTTTTGCTTCAGAGAAATGTTGACGGGCAAATCTGATGTCAGGTGGCTGGGGCCATTATTCGCATCCACTTGGGAGCCAGCGTCAACCTGCCAAAGTTCCGACAACTTGGGTCTCCGCCCTACACACACACACACTGGTGAAGTCAAATAATTGGCGCCGTATGATGAAAAGCTACACTCAGCAACTGCAAGATACTGACACTCAAGTAGAGTGCGCCTATGCTGAATCTACAACCGCACAATTCTGAAACGCTGCAAGGCCAATGAACCCAGACCCGCTGCTAGCAGAAGCAGCGTTCGTGCCGTCCCCAGCTCTCGCCATAGAGTGCTTCATGCGCAGTTGGAAGCTGGCCCAATGTGTTCCTGTCGCACGGAGCATGTTTGACAACATGTTGGCCTGGGTATCTCAATCCTATCAGCACCGGCTTCAGTAGCGAACGAATGCTGATATTGCAGGTGCCAACGACACAATACACGCTGCGGGCCGGACCCCTGGAACATCTTGGAGCCTTCAACGGGACGGCTACCACGCATGCTTGTCAACCTACTGTGCCCCAGGGCTCGTCTGCACCAGTTCCGCAGAGTTCGGAGATGTGACAAAGGGGACACCGAGTGTCGGGAGCAGATGCGCAAAGGCAAAAGATGGTTCAGAAAGCTTGTTGTGCGTAAGCGGTTTGAGGTCCTGAGCACATGGAAAATATGGCTATATAATGGATGATATTTATGCAACTTGTGTGCATGTAAGCTCAAGGGATTCGGACACCGACGAGTTTAAAGTTTTAGTTTGAAATAGGAAGGTTGCTGAAAATGAAAATTGGTTCAATGCGCGCTCAGGGGGAAAGGGATTGGTTCAATGCACGCGAAGTTTGTCTGCCCGCAGTAAGACTATTAACGCTGCTTGGTCCCGCACGTGCGACAAGACAACGTGGAGGAGTCAGCATCTGTGAAGCGCAGCCTTCTTGAAGGCACGAACGCGAGTTTTGTTTGAGGCATGCTGCTTCGCATGGGGCATGTGGAAAACACAGCGGGTCTTGTGCTTGTAAATCTCTTCTTCCTCCCTCTCTCTCTCTCTCTCTCTATCTTTATCTCTTTCTGTCTCCACCTCCCTATCTATCGTTCTTTGTGTCTGTGGCTGGCTTTGAGCGACTTGGCAGCCTTGGCTTGCAGCTTGCCGGGCAGTGGTCCTGGTCGATCAGTCGCCCCAGCCATGGCAGAAACCGAGAAGAAAAAAAAGAAGAAGGTGACATGCTTCTTCCTGATGGTTTCCGGTTTACGGGGAGTGTGGTAGCGCTGAGTGACAGGGTGGCTGTGACATCTATTGTGCCTACGTAGTCCCGTACACAAAATCAGGCGGTGGAAGAATTGTACATAAAGCCAGAAGAGACGCAGAAGCCGATCGACACATCCAAGCGGCTGGCTTGGAGTGTGGCGTTTTTTTGGGCATAGCAATAATAACAACAATAATAATAACAAGAATAGTAATGGCTGGTGTCCTGAGGTGGCCGCTGCTGCTCAAGAACTACTCAAAGCTCTTGGTCAGGTCGGCTTCCCATGCACATTGCAGCTGCTGAAGGTCTAGCTGTGAATCGCTATTCTGCTGGTCCTTCGTTATACCAGCAATTCATTTTCGGTCAACTCAAAAATGCAAAGTTCAGCATTGCCATTCCCAAAATGCAGTAAATTTCAGCGAGGGATTCCTTGCAAAAGACGGATGGGGGTTACGTCACGCCGGGCGCCGCTTATTTCCCTCCAGACTGTTTTTACCAGCGTGGGGTGAAGTCTGTGATTCCTGC